AAAGAAGTTCAAAACAGCAATGCTCACCTATGTCCACGTTAGAGGCTTTCAGATGCACACGTATATACGTGCCTTATTTCTGGCTAGTCATGTGCCCCAGCAGCCACAGATAGGAAAACCTCAAACATCCGTGAAATTCTGATAAACGCTCAGTACAGAAATGGACTGCTTATTTCACACTTTAAACCACAAAACAATTACATTTTTTCACAAGAAGGGATAACCTGGAGTTCAAATACGAGCGCATCCAACGTGCTGGCACAGCCAGTCCCTACATCGGTGCCAGCACATCCTTGTGACTGACCTTTCCCAACGACGAGATATTTAGCACCAAACCCCCCGCTGAAATGCCATACTGGGGTGCAGAGCTTACGTGAAACGAAGTTAAGAAAATAGAAGCTATGGTCTGCACAGCCACCTACAGCTCTGCCCTCCCACAGAGTCAGGAAAATACAGTTGGTGATTACACCAAAAAAACCTGAATCAGCAAGGGAATTTTTGAAGAGATATTGCAATAGAAAAAAGGAAAAAAAAAACCCAACCCGCTAACGCCTTCGTCCTAACAGTAGCGTCAGTCTGTCTTGCCACACAAACCCAGAAGCAACAGCAACCTGGGCTTTTTGTTACACGTAGGTGAGATTTCTGAAGGTGGTAACACAGGGTCCACCCTGTCCTGCTCACCGGGACGCAGGCGAGGCCGCGTAAAAGCCAATTCTGAGTAACAGTTAATAAAAATAACATGCACAGAACACTACACTCTACCCGCAGCAGAAAACACCCACAAAAGGTGAAGACTGCAGGAGGTCCACCAGGAGCCAGAAAAACCCCAAAAACCCCAACACATGACTAAACCAGAGGAACCCCCAAAACCTCTGCAAGCCCCAAACCCGTCCTTTCTCCTATTACATAATGCAATGCAGAAACTTTCACAGTTAAAAAAAAAGCCACCATGAAGAGAAGTATACGTAAGTGCTTTTTGTCCTGTTCCGACAGAAAGAACACTCAGGTCTTGCACACGTTGCAGAAGACAAATCGCGTCGAGAGACTGATTTATAGGTTTGAATGGAGAGTCAGAGCCAGAGCGGCAGAGCTGGGAGCAGCGCGGCTCTCAAAGCCTGGACGAAGCAGAGGGACATAAAAACGCAGCAACGGGACGCTGTAAAAGCAACGAAGCGTGGGAGAGAAGAATCTCTGCTCGTATTTGTCCTTGGGCATCCTTGAAAAAAAGGATGGTCCTCGGGAAGGACGTGGAGACACCAGTGGGTGTCAGGGGCAATGGATGAAACCCAGGGGGGTTGTGCGGGGGAGATAAAGAATCAAAACGGGGCGGGAGGAACCGGAAGGGGACAGAGACCCTACGGCATCCACCACTGCCCGAAGGCATCCCGGGGAACCTGCTCGGCGGTGCTCTGCATGACACCAGGGGACGTGTAAGGGGCCACACGGAGCCTTGATCTGAACCACTATAGGCTTGCTTTATAGCTAAAATTAGCAGCTAACAATGGCTAAAGATGAAAGAATCACCAGAGAATTGGTGAGAACCAAGTAATACAGGAAATAAAAAAAAAAAAGCTATAAACTTCAGCGTGAGCTGAACTCGAACAGCCAGTACATTTTTCAAATAAAGAAAAACTATACCCCCGGTATTGCAGAATTATTGCTTTCCTAATTAACCATTCCAAACATGCAATGCATCTCAATAAATTATTTTGTTTATTGCAAACAGTTTGAATGAGAAAAGAATGAAGGAACAGCACACAGTAAAGCTGACAGCAGTAACTCAGGATTACGCCTAAAAGCAGAAGGTTTGGTGGGCTGGACCGCTCCCTGGAGCCCAACTCTATCCATTCTTCAACAAGGCATACTTGCGAAGAGTATTTGATTTGATTGGTTTTTTTAAACAGGCAATCAGGACAACTTGGTCTAATATAACCTTCTAAAACTAGTTTGATAACAAGGGCAGCGACACTCAGAGCAATGACACGATGACTTCCTCCAGAGACTGCCGAGGTTTCCAACAGTTCCCTTGCAAGAACTGCACGAAGTTTAACAACGATGAGCGCACGGTCCTGCACCTGGGATGGCGTAACCAAAGAGCCCAGTACAGGCTGGGCAACTGAGGAGTGGCCTTGCCAAAAGGGACCTGGGGGTCCTGATGGGCAGTAAACCAAGTACGCGTCTGTGTGCCGCTGCAGCAACGACGGCAATCAGATCTTGGGCTACATCCATAGGGGCGTTACTTGTAGAGATAGAGACACGATCATCCCATGCTACTTGGCATTCATCAGGCTACACCTAGAGTATGGTGTCCAATCCTGGTCCCTACAACTCAAAAAGGATGTAGACAGACTGAAGAGGGTCCAAAGGAGGGCCACGAAGATGATCAAAGGGCTGGAGAACGTGCCCCATGAATTAAGACTGAAGGAGTTAGGTCTCTTCTCCCTGGAGAAGAGAAGGTTCCGGAGGACCTCACCACAGTATTCCAGCACTTAAAGGGCAGCTACAAAGAGGATAGAGGCTCTTTCTTCACAAGGTGCCACATGGAGAAGACAAAGGGCAGTGGGCACAAGTTTCACCAGGAGGTTTCATCTTGATATAAGAAAGAAGGAAGGTAACATTCTTCAGTTTTATTACTTCACTACACCTTCATCATCAAAACCACCCCAAATTTACGACGGGGCAGCACTTTTCCTCAATACCCACAAAACACTTTGCAACGATTATGACTACACTGAACTTTTACACATTAATTTTCAAGCTATCCAGTGCAGTAGACTGAATTGCATTTCATTTGAAAGTATCTAATTTACAAGACATCCAATGTGAGGTGTCCGATAAGCAAAGGATGCAGGCAAGACAACAAAAACTGCCATGCTACTGGGACATGTGTCCGAACAGAGATTTCCCAACACTCATTTTCTAAATTAATTTAGCTTTGCAGTGGTTTTCTAGCTATACCTGTGGCAACACATGCTATACAAGAAGTGATTTGCCAACTTTCTCCAAGTCTTAGGTCTGTAATTGAAATGAGCTGGAGGCAAACCACTGCCACAGGGTGTATTTCACACGCTAACGGACCATTCCTACAGGCCCAAGTAGAGTGCGTCTGACATGACATTTACTTCCTACGTAAACACCACTTACTCTCAGCAATGAAGTCACACAGAACACTTAGGAATTAAATTAAGAGCTAATTTTGGTATAACAGATTTTTACGATTGCACATGCCCTGTACAGCAGAGCATTACGTGATCTTTGATGAGATGACCACCAATCAACTCTTTTTAGAAGCACACAAAAAAAATGATTGTTAGCCTGAGGACAACCTTCCTTTAAGTGCTCCCCAGGAAGGTTTTGCTAAAAATTAAGGTTATGGAAAAGTCATTGCAGAGTTTATATATAGAGAAAGGCAACCACAGAAGTCATAAGTGACGTTATGTCACAGGAGGGCTAAACTGAGACTTTTGTCTTTCTATTCCCCATTCTCTCCAGTGAAAGGAATCGGACGAACCTCTTTCAGCACAGGGACTATGCTCTTCATGCTGTATTTCCTATGTGACTTACTTTTGGATTCGCTGGTATCTTTCCCCTACAGAAAAGCAAAATCTGTGCCTCTGTAACACAAGTTTTGAAAATAAGTATCAGTGTTTCCTGGTACAGTTTGGATATCCGAAAAAACCACACGCTGAAAAAGCACAGACAATACGAATTTGCAAAATAGGCTTGACAGATGGACACAAGACCTAGGAATTATCTTTTTCCACGTGTCAAAGAAGCTTCACCATCCTGTTTCAGCCTGCAGTAAATGGCATGTTTAATAAACAGATTCAGAAACATCCTGCAATGAGGGTGCTGACCAAAGGACTCATCATCGGGAACCAAATTACTAAAGGAAGCACAGTCTGCATAATTCTCCCGGCGTATAGCGTCCATTACAAATTCAAAGTAATAGAAGGAAAATGGGCAATAAGCAGGCAAAAGTTTTGCCTCATTCTTTATTTGATACTCCTTGATAGCAAAGTTTTTCATCAGTTTTCCTAGGTCCCTGTATGGATGTTTACAACCGATCGATCTAGTCTGGACACAGCAGAAGCATCGGCCTCCAAGGGAACAGGCTGGCTTTTTATAGGCTGCGTAAGCAAATTTTCTGTCCTTGGTTTTACAGATTGTCAGTAACCTTATACCTTATTTGCTTTTCTGAAGTTCCCTGAAATGTTGCCAGCGAGAGTAATATTCAGAAACAACACGGGGTTTATTTCCATGAAACACCCGAGGGCAAGCACGGCGCAGCCCCGCAGCATCGGTACACACGTACGTCTGCTGTGTCACCGTAAAAACCACCATGCACTGCCACACCAACCCAACCGCCTCAAAAAACCAGCTCTCAAACTCCAAGCCTAACAATTCCAATTTTAAGGCAAATATATTTATTATTTTGCTTATTGCTTGAGGTTTCCCATTAAGGGGTTTTCACTGTTTTAAGCTGGAACCCATTACCACACCCTTGGAGCGTTAACTGGGATTACACTTGGTAACCTCCGAGCTTTAGGAAATGCTCCCGCTCAGCCTCCGTTGCACCCAAGTGGTTTAAGGGCAGCGATTTTCCTTCCTCAGCTGATGCAGAAAGTTTAGACTGTTACAAACAGCCAGTTAAAAAAAAGTTTGCCTTCAGTTTTAAGAAATTAAATTTAAAAAAAAAAAAATTGCCAATCTAAAAAGACCGGTTGATCAAACAGCTGAACGGGACCGCAGTCCTGTGAACCCTCTGCCAGCTGCCACCTCTCCTTTCCGGTCGCTACATCCTTCCATTCCCTCCATCGGCTTTTTCTCTTTGATGCCCTTGATTCAAAATCCTTCAATCCAGTTAATCTCAGAATGAAATAGTTCTGCCCAAATTTCTTCCTTTTAATTCCCATTTGCGCTTCCAGTCTTTGGATTCCCCCATTTTTTGGCAGCTCTGCTGGGAGCTTTCCTCTTTATTTTGCAATCCCGCGTCCACCTCCGATACCTTCGTGACGTCCTATGAACCAAACCCCCACCACAGCAGAGGAAAGCTTTGCCCGAGGAGCTAGAGGGTGGGGGGGGTTTCCTACACGGCTCCTTCAAGAGCACCTTTGCTCCAGACGCCGGCACGCGCTCCAGGGCATCACGCCGTTAGCGGTCCTGGCCTTCCGGAGCGCATCCCAGGCAGCGCGCCCAACCTGCGCAGGGCGGCGCCGGCTCTGCTCCCAGCCACCCTCCCTTCTCTGGCATGACAGCTGTCGCAATCCGTATCCGATTATTTTAAACACGCGACTTGAAGACTCTACCGTGTTAAGAAGGCTCCATGTGGAACAAAATTCCTCCAAACGGGCACTTGACTTTCCTTGGTCTACCAGCTGTCAAGAAGCAGCTGGCCGACCCTGCTCGGCACGACAGCGCTACTCGGGATTTCTGCTTGCCACCGGTACTTCAGCAGTTTCCCTGCCAGGCTTCAGCAAACTTCAGCAAACTCCGCGTTTTACCATCTTATTTGCCGGTTGTTTTGACAGTCTCGCTACGTGCCTGCGATTCCATCATCAGTTTGTTCATTTTTCACAAGAACTAATTTCTTTAATTAGTTCTATTTTTTCTTTCTACAACCTACTGAAACAAGAGCGGCGATGCTCACTCCCACTGACATGCAGTCTCTCACCAAGCAAACCTTTCTGTATCCCACTTTTTGCTCTCATCCCTCCCATTCATTCCATTCACAAAAAAAAAAAAAACCCAAAAACAGAAGGAAAAAAAAAAACCCAGACATCTCAGACTCTTTTTCATGGCATCAGTAAGTAAATTATTTAAACCACCTTGTATATCCTGCCAGTAAAATAATGAGAAACCACCCAAAACAAGTGGCGTTCTCTCAAGTTATTTTGCAGGATTTTCATTAGCCTTTTTCCCAAGGATTTATATAAACCAACGCTGGTTTATGTTCACCTTTTACATACGAGCTACAATTCTGCTCCGGTTTGAAAATGTTTAAAATACACTTTGAGCTGTGTTAATGGGAGAGGAGAAAGTTGCTCCTCTGAGATACGCAGAGGCCACTTAGGTATCCACAGAGAGGGTAAGATGAGCCCAGCCGAATTACCCATGCTGACATCAGTCCTCAAGTAACTTAATGCAAACAAAAAAAATTTCCTCCTTAAAGACCACAGATGTTCCACCAGTGGCACAAAAGAAGGTTTCTTCAGATTTTTAAAGAGCAGCAATTATGTCTTTTTGTTGTTTTTAAAGCCAACTGATGGATCAAATCTTTTCCCAACAGGGTAAAATCCTGTAACCTTCAATAACAGGATGCAAAGAAAAACAGTGCCTATCCAACTATACAAACTTCAGATAACTTTCCTTTTTAAAACATACAAAAGATGGGCTTGCTGACAATATTTATTTCAAAGCTTGTTTCAATTCATCAGCTACAGTATGTACTTACTCCAATTATTATTAGTACTACAGACAGGAACCTCAAAGAGAGATGGACCAAGTTGATACCATTCACGACAGCCTTTCAGTGCTCTGAAAACTATCCTTGTAGTGTTCCTAAAATAACCCCAGGCTTACAAAAACGTGC